GTTGGCGTCAAGCTCACAGCAGTCCTTTTGCCTTAGCTGCCAAGTGCTGGCATTAAAGGCAAGCACTGCCATGCCCAGCCCATTGGGCAACTTTTTCCTTGCTGTAAGCAAATAACAGCCTCACCTGCCCTGAATACAGTGCTAGTCACCCTAATTAAACTTTGAATGCTCCCCGATCTACCTTCTCCTTTTCCTTGCAGCAGCAGCTACTGAGTGCTCTAGGCAGACCTGGAGCTGTGCTCTGGGGTGTGTTTACAGTCTGCCTTCTGAGACCCCCATCCTGTCCTGGAAGTGACAACAGGCAGAGCCTGAGTAGGCTCACTCTGGGCAAGTCACTGCACCTCTTTAGAGTTTGCTCTCTCAGTAAAGTGGGTTTTATCCCAGCAACCACCCTGAGCTGCCTGAGAAGGGTTGTTGAGGTGGAGTGAATTGCAGTGAGTGTAACTTCAGCATTGCCAGTGCCTGTAAGCACCACATCTGACAGTACTGGTCAGGAATGCTTCCTGTCTTCCTTTTCATTCTGTTGGAAAGGCAGGCATGCCATGACCTGCGTGAAGGTCAGAGGACAGCTCATGGGAATCAGTCCTCTACTATGTAGGTCCTGGAAGTACCTGCTGGCCATTTTGCCAGCCCAGGATTGTCACACACACACACACACACCTCCAGACAAGGTTTTTCTCTGTAACTCTGTAACCCTGTAACCCTGGCTGTCCTGGAACTTGCTATATAGACCAGACTGGTCTTGAACTCACAGACATCTGCTGCCTCTGGCTCCTGAATGCTGGGATTAAACATGTAAGCCACTGTGTATTTCATTCTTCATGTCCACCCAGGCACTCGGGATTGGGGTGTTCACCCACTGTCAGCTGAGAGCCTAGGTTGACAAATTGTGTCATTCCTAACACATACCCCTCATCCGATCAGAAAAGTTGCAATAGGAAACCTCCCCTCCGAATCCTTCCTGCTCAACACTGCCTCTAGATAGAAGGGAAAGAAGCCACTGAAGCATAGGGATGCCCCAGTCCTGCTAAAATGACCCAGGAATTGTATCCTGCCATTTGTTGTGCATATGTTTATAGGGAGACATGTCAGTCTCACACCCATTGGCATGGGCATACTGCCCCAGGGGAGCCAGGTCAAGGCCCTTCTAAAGGGCAGGGGCTTCGGGTCTGACTTCTGTGGAATTCTATGGTTGTCACTGAGTCTACTCCTGTCCACTTCCCTCTGCAGATGACCTGGATGGACTTCTGAGTGAGCTCCCCGAGGACTTCTTCTGTGATCCCAGCAGTTGGGACTGTCTCAAGACAGGACATCCACCATGAGCTGGCAGTCTCTGCCCCCAGACAAGCTCTAAGTGCATCTGGTCACATCCAAGGGGGAGAAAGCCGGTGCAGCTGGAGACCAGACAAGCTCATGGTCTGATGCCTCCTCACGGCCCCCTTCCCAAAATCCCTGAGTGATGGACCAGACAGTGTGCTGTTGAAGCCTGACAACTTCCTCTGGCGTGGGCACCCTGGAAATGTGAGCGAGCTTAGTTCTCCAGCCTCCATGGTCTCAGAGTCCTGTGACGCATCACCCTCCAGCCGATAGGAAAAGTGTGGCCTCCACCTTATCTTAACTTTAGAGACGTTGGGCCTGGTTTCCTTGTCCCTTTATTCCTCAGTCCCCTGACAACTGAGGAGCCACAACCACAGCAAAGGTGACCTAAGGCTATAGCTAACACACCTTCAAGGGTGATGGTGGAGTACAGGCTATTGCACCTGGTTCCGAAATAAAGCAGCCCCTCCTCATCTGCCACCCCTCCGTCCCACACCTACTCCATTCTCTGCTGGCCAGAGCAGTCAGGCTCCAGCAGATAGACAGCAAGGCAGAGCAAAGAGCATTCACTCGTGTGTGTGTGTGTGTGTGTGTGTGTGTGTGTGTGTGTGCCTGTACACTTTCCCCCCCCCCCCCCCCTCCCCCCCTGCCTTTTTTTTTTTTTTTTTTAATTTTATGTGTATGGGTGTTTCGCCTGCATATGTGTCTGTACCACCTGTCTGCCTGCTCTTGGAGACCAGGCTTTAGATCCCTCAGGACGAGAGTTACAAGTGGCTGTGACCAGGTGGCCTTGAACTCATACAGATCCACCTGCCTTGAGTGCTGGGATTAAAGGGGTGCACCACCACTGCCCGGCTCCTTTTGTTTGTTTTTTATCTTTATTTTGAGGCAGGATCTTACTAAGTTTCTGGCCTTGAATTTGGCAGTCGTCTTGTCCCCACCTCCCAATTACCTAGAACTCCAGTGTGGTACCATCAGGCCCAGCTTCTCCATCTTATCTGGGTATCTGTGGGCCTAGATCTCCTCACTGAGGACATGTCTGTAAAATGTGTCCTCTCTACTCCGCTGCTTGCCGGCAGTCAAATGGTATACAGCCACTCAAGCATTAGGGAGTTCTGTTCTAAGGGCGGAAGGTCTCATAGCATTTTGGATGAGCTTTGTATGGCTGTTGTCTTCACCGGTTCATCCATTTATATTACTCTGGACCCGGGTTTTTATTTTATCCTTTGAGCTGTAATCTGATGTGGCTTTATCTGTTTTGTGGCACAGGACTTTCAGTGCTCTTTTCAGCACCATCTTTTTTAGACCACAATTGACAAGAGCCTGGGTGAGACAGAAAAGGTCGCAGTATTCAAGTTGCCAACCCATTATTCTTCCCAGAATGAGGGGCAGAGAGGAAGCAGGTTCAAGAGGCCTGTTCGACTGGCAGCCTTCCCCCACCTCAGCTGTCACTGAGAGGCTGAGAGTGAAGGCCTCCAATGCACTGCTCTTCTGAGAGACTGATGCCATGAATGCGGCCATGGATGGGACTGTAAGCAGCTGGAGAGCTGCTGACTCTAGGGAACTTTCTACCAAAAGGATGCTGTGCTGGGGGCCAGTACAGCACAGGGCCTTGCACTTTCACATCCCCTCTCCTTTCTGCCTGCTGCTAATGCCCAGCCCTCTTCTAGCTTAGACCCGGGCCACACCCATCTAGGTGGTGGTGTCAACCAACTATCCTGTGTTTGCATTGGGACACTCTGAGCCCTGGTCCCCCCCCCCCAATCCAATCTCAGCTAAGCCCAAACTGTTTCAGATCCTAGTTTCTTGGGTGCTTCATTCTTCTCCAGACTAAATTCCCGGGAAGCCAACTGAACATCAAATCCTCTAGCACTGTACCTTCCAGTTCGACTTACAGCCTCCTGTGGAGCCACAGGCAGGCCTTTCTCTGCCTCAGAAGCTAATGTTAAAACCTACACACTGGTATCTGGGGGACAAAGCTATAGTCAGCACTTTCAGGCTTGTGAGGCAAGAAGGCAGGGCAGAGGTCAGGCTATGACTGTTGTATGCCTTAGGGAGTTAAGGGACACCCACCACTTTGGCCCTTCTTGGCCCCACCTTTGCCAGACTCCCAACCCTGGGAACTCAGCTGTGGGTGCTTGGCCAGGCCATCAGCGGGGCAATTAAAATAGTGTATGGCTTCCAGTAGGGTTAATCACAGCTGCATCCATAGAGGTGCCTTTCTCTGAGGAGGACCTTCAAGCCCTCACTGGGCATGATCTCACTCCCCTTCTGGGATCCCCCACCCTGGATTGTTGCCCGGAAGCCCGGGGCCAAGCACAGAATGATTGAGCAGAGGGTGAGGGCAATGCCGGAAGAAGCCCCGGTTGCTGCCACCCACCTGGGCAGACAGAGGAGTGTTTGCTCAGACAAAGAATGGGGACCTTCATTCAATGTTCAGGAGGGGCCAGCCTGCCGTGACCCAGGTGCTCCTAAACACTGTGTCAAGACTGACCATGCCAGGGCCTGCCCTGGAACCCACATCCAACATGGGAGAGTGATGTCTGTGGCACTATGGCATGTGGACTTTGCTAAGCCCACCCATTGTTTTTTAGAAGTTAAATAGCTGTTACTGCAGGAACATCTCTACACAGCAGGTTGCCTTGGATGAATGAGTAGGAGATTCCAAGCCCCTGGAACAGCAGGGAAGGGCCAGAACGTGGTGAGAGTGTCATGTCGTGTGGGGCCAGGGCAGGGAACTGGGACTTCTTCGATGGAAGAGCCTGAGTCAGACTGCAGAGTTTTTAAGGAAAGTGACCTTTTTGGACAGGTGATTCTGGTAGGCAGCAGAGGAGCATGTGATCCAAGGAAGAGCCACTCACAGGCTGGGTTGATTCAGGATGAAGGCTTTGGGGACCTGAACAGAAGCTGGTGTGGAAGAGACAGATCCTGTGTGGGCCTGTGGCCAGAAGGAAGTGAAAGACTGCCCCAGGAGGCGGGGTGGGCTGACCCCCCCCCCCCCCCACTTCTCCACAGACAGACCAGCTGGTGTGTCTCCACAGCCTCACTCCTCCCCCTAGAGGCTCCGGGAAGCACGGCCACTTCCTCCAAAGGGGGAATGTGTGTACCGTCTGAAGGTCCCCAGCTCCAAGGTCAACCCTTGGTGCACCTCAGGAGGCACGTGAGTCCTCTTAGAAACCAGGGAGAAGAAAACTGGTCATTGAAGTTAGAGCCCATGTCCTGCTTGGGCATGTGGGGACAGGAAAGGCTTGCCCCGCTATCTACCCCACAGGTAGTAGCCCCTAGAGTCAAATTATCTAAAGTCTGATTCACTGAAGTCTTCGCCCTGCCCTCACAAGCTCTGTGATTTTGAGTGGTAATTGGTAATTTTACTTCATTGAGACTTAAATTCTGGGCGGTGGTAGCGCACGCCTTTAATCCCAGTACTCAGGAGGCAGAGGCAGGGGGATCTCTGTGAGTTCGAGACTAGCCTAGTCTACAAGAACTAGTTCCAGGACAGCCTCCAAAGCCACAGAGAAACCCTGTCTCAAAAAACAAAAACAGAAAAACAAAAAAGACTCAAGTTTCTTCTTTGGTTTTTCGAGACAGGGTTTCTCTGTGTAGCTTTGGAGCCTGTCCTGGAACTCACTCTGTAGACCAGGCTGGCCTTGAACTCACAGAGATCCTCCTGCCTCTACGTTGTGAGTGCTGGGATTAGGTGTGTGCCACCATGACCCCTTGCAAATCCCCACCCCCCCCCAAAAAAGACTTAAGTTCCTTAAGTCTGTAAAATAAGACCACCCATCTCAGTTGCTGAACTGAAATACTTAGCCTGGCCATCTCATTTACCGACCAAATCTTTGTCTTATCTCACTCACTGGCTGTGGTCATCTGAGTAGAGGCGGATATGAGAGTGACTGATTTCTACAAAGTGTAGTTCGTGCTTGCAGCAGTTGCTGTTACTTCATATTCAGGAAGAGTGGTTTGGCTTCTCAGTATCTCCACTGAGCCACTGAGGTCCGTGGGCTCACTCCAGAGAAGTGGGGTCCAGGAATGACCTTGGCTAGGACCTGATGACCAATGGAAGGGTACCAGGAAGAGGAGGCTGGCCCAACATCATCGCTTTAGGATCATGACTCTAGGCAAACTGTTTACCAATGCAGAGAGGTGGCCTATTTATAGTCTCAGCTGCTTCTACAGCCTACCAGGACGGGGGCAGGGTGGCTCTCCAGAGCAAGGGTGCTAGCTGGAACAAGGAACAACTCTCTGCCTAGGTGGCACTGCCCAGACCACTGACCCCCGCCATGGCAGGGGAGACCTTCCCTTTCACATCCTCCACAAGGCGTGCTCTCCGCCTACAGAGAGAGTGGCTGGAATGGCAGGACAGGAGGCGGGCTGCTGCTCATCGGTGTCGAAGTCAGAGGGACCTCTCTAGTCCCCAGGCTCGGCTCACGAGGACCCACCGCTCCTGCCGAGACCCAGCTGTCCACAATGCCCTGTTCTCTGGGGACCTACAGCAGGTTCAAATCCTGTTCCAAGATGAAGAGGCTGCCAACATGATTGTGGAGACTGTGAGCAACCAGCTGGCCTGGTCAGCAGAACAGGGTAAGGAGTACCACCTAGGAGGCAGAAAGAGGAGAAGTGTGGGGGCGGGGAAGGGAAGAGTCCAGACCCTACTTCTCCTTTAAGACTTAGAGTGGACTGCCCATCATAAACACCCATATTAGCTCCTTCCAAAACAGTTGAGGCAAAGTGTGGGTTTGTTTTTTTGTGGTTGTGAGACAGGGTCTCACTATGTACTTGGCTGCTCTGGCTGGGACTCATTGTGTAGATCAGGTTAGCCTTTAACTCACAGAGATCTGCCCACTTCTGTGTACTGAATGCTGGGATTAAAGGTGTGTGCCACCGCCGCCTGACTGGTTGTCTGTGTTTCTGATATATATTTGTTTCTGAGAGAGAGAGAGAGAGAGAGGGGTAAATATATATGTCCATATTTCTCCCATGGTTTTCTCCTATAGAAGATAATTTTTATGAAATCCATATGCAAATTTTTTATACTTATTGAATTTGAGGGGGAGGGAGAAGACCCAAGCACCTCCTGATGAACCGTCTCACCAGTCCAGTTTTATTGTGGGGTGGTAGAACTGAACCATAGTTGGAGTGTTAATAAGCATTGTCTTTGCTGCTGTGCTGCAACCCACAGCGTTTTACATTTGAAGACAGTCTTGCTAAGTGACCCAGGCTGGTTTTCAGCTCACTCCATAGTCCAGGCAGCTTTTGAATTTGTGATCCTTCTCCTCAGCCTTTGGAGTAACTGGAACTATGTACTTGTCCCATCAGGTCCTGTTCAGTCTGTTATTGCCATTTGCTTTGAAACAGGATCTCTCTATATGGCCCAGGCTGGCCTGGAACTTGGGATCTCTCTGTCTCATGCCCCTGAGTGATGGGACTGCACTCATGCATCACCATACTTGGCCACATGCAATAGTGTAAGCTGATTTTTTTTTTCATGTAACATCTTCCATGTCAGTAACCTTAAGTTCACAAAATACTCAAAAGCTGTACATAAATGCACCCGGATTTATATAACTACTCTCTGAATAGAATGGTGAATTTGGGTCCCTTCTCCTTAAAAAAGCAAACAAACAAAAAAACCAAAAAACTTTTTTATTGTTGAGACTGTTAGCCTTTGTAACATGCAAATGGTTTCTTATTTTTCAGCTGTAAAAATTCTTCAGTATTAACTAGGTAGAGCACCTGGCCAGCACGTCAAAGCCTCAAATCTCTAATCTCCACATACTCACTAGAGCAGAGTATGTAAGAGTACCTCTGTGTAACATTCCTGGATGTCCTGGAACTCGCTCTGTAGACCAGGCTGACCTCGTACTCACAGAGATCTACCTGCCTCTGCTTCCTGAATGTTAGAATTAAAGGCATGCACCACCACCACCCAGCCTTTAAATTACATTTTTATTTTATATATATGGATGGTTTGTCTGCATGTAGGTCTGTGCATTATTTTTGTGCCTGATACCCATGGAAGTAAGGAAGTAGGATTTCCTGGAACTGGAGCTACAGACTGTTGTGAGCAGCCATGTGGGTGCTGGGAATTGAACACCAGTCCTCTGGAAAAGCAGCCAGTGCTCTTAACCACTGAGAAATCTCTCCAGCCCCCTTTTCCCTTCTTGATTTTTTTTTTCATTTTGATATTGATTGATGATTGATTGATTGATTGTGGTATTAAGAGGTGGAAGGCAGAGCCCACATATAGGCAAGTCCCTTTGCTATTTTAAGTGGCAGTATGATGAAGACCTTTACATGCTTGACAGAAATTTTCTAGTGTGTATCCCGACTTAGAAAGCTTGGCCGAGTTAACCCAATACTTAACTGAGATTGTTTGAAAACTGACAAGAGAAGGCTTCAACCTCAGCCCTTGGGTCTGGGGTTTCACAGTCCTATGGAAGAGTTTATGGACCCAGGACAGTCAGGCACTGCAGCAGCTACAAGTCCTGCTTACCTGCAGTGGTGACACAATAACCCTACCAAGCTTTTCTGCCTTTGTCCTGAAGAATACCCATCATCCCCCAAAAGGGAACTGGAACTTATTTTAATTACTCAAAAACAAAATATGCTTCACCCAAGATCCAGAGAAACAGTGGCCTTACTGCCCCGCCATGCAAACAGTGTACACTTCAACATGACACACCTGTATCCTTTAAACAAGTTCTGACTAGTCAGTCCGTTCAAAGCCAAGACCAGTCTTGTGATCACCAAGCCCCTCTTTTCATGCTGTAGTCACTTCCAAACTCAGCTCCATATACACCTGTGCATAGCTACCATCTCCAAATACAAGCCAGATGAGCACCCTTGCACCTGCTAGCCACTCAAAGACCCTAAAGTTCCTGTCAGCTCATTTGCTTTCTTCTGCCTTTGTGGTTTTTTCTTCTCTCTCTCTCTCTCTCTCTCTCTCTCTCTCTCTCTCTCCTCTTTTGCTTTCTCAAGACAGGGTTTTCAGGGTTGGAGAGATGACACAGAGGTTAAGGGCACTGACTGCTCTTCCAGAGGACCTGGGTTCAATTCCCAGCACTCACATGGCAGCACATAACAGTCAGTAACTCCAAGATCGGACAGTCTCACACAGACATACATGCAGGCAAAACACCAATGCACATAAAATAAAAATAAATAATAAAAAAGACAGAGTTTCCTTTGTGTAACAGCTCTGGCTATCCTGGAACTCACTCTGTAGATCTGCCTGCTTCTGCCTCCCACGTGCTGGGATTAAAGGTGTGAGCCTTTGTGGTTTTATAGAACAACTTTTCTATGACACATACTATGTGAAATTTTCTGCCTTGTTTTCCAGTGCTGGGGAGTGTAGTGTTTTGTTATAGACTGACAGTGTTTAAAAGGCTCTTCTAATGTGTACTCCTAATTCAGGACTAGAGTGAACTAGCCACAGGTACAGCATGGCTGTTGGTGCTCAGTAAGCTAGAGCCAGGGAAGGCCAGCATCTACTGTCACCCATAGATAGCTTCTCCATCCTGCTCTCCCAAACAAAGTCCTACAGCACTGCCTGTTCTCCTCAGGATTCTGGGTGCTGACTCCAAAGACCAAGCACACAGCACCTCTTACCATCGCTGTGGCCAGAGGCTACATAGACTGCGCCCGGCACCTTATCCTTCAGGGGGCTGATCTCGATGCCCGGATTGGAGGTCATGCTGCCTTGCACGAGGCCTGTGCCCAAGCCCAACCTGACTGTGTTCGGCTGCTGCTTACATTTGGTGCCAAGGCTAATGTGCTGTCTGAGGACGGTATGACCCCCTTGCACCTCTGCACAGCTCCTGAATCCTTGCAGTAAGTGCCCATGGCCTGGGAGAGTTTTGTGGGGCATGTATGTGTGTCTGTGTCCAGATCACTTGCCTAGGGACAAGGCCGTTTTGAGAAAGCTTTGTTGTGTATAAAACCCCTCACATCTTTATGTTTTCACAGAGGTAGAGACCTCATTATTTTATTTATGTGTGTGCCCATGTGTGCAGGTGCCTGCAGATGCCAGCTCGGGTGTCAGGTTTCCTGGAGTTGGGATCACACCACTGTGTCTGGCTTTCCTCTTCCTTTGAAACAGAACCTCTCTATGTTGCTGAGGCTGGCCTCACACACCCATGATCCCCCTGCCTCTGCCTCCCGAATGCTGGGATCAAAGGCGTGTGCCACCACCAGATTTGGGCAGTCTTTTAAACGCTGGGATTACAAGCATGCACTGTCAACACCCAGTGTCCTTTCACTTTTCACAAGTTGACAGTGTCGCATGGTGGTATTTACTCTTTTACAAATCAGTTCAACAAACTCAGCTCCAAGGACTCAAGACACTGACAGTCAGGTAATGGTTAGGATACATTTATTAGGGAAAATGCCTTACTTGCAGAGCTCCCTAGCCACCTGGCAGGAAACGAAGCAAAGCTGAGCAAGCCGAAGCAGCAGGGAAAAAGAGGGCTTCCCACGTGTGTCCCCCCCACTCTTAAACTTCTCTCCCATCACCCTGTCCATGCCCTAGGGGGTGTGGACAGGTACACCTGTAGATACCTGTCCTCACTAGCTGTAGATCAGTGATAGACCTCGAAATGATCTAAATTCGCCAGCACTACTCAGGAGGCTGAGGCAGGAAGATTGCCAGTCTGGTCTACACATAGTACCTGGCCAGCTTGGGCCAGGTATTGAAGAAACAAAATTACCAGCCCTTTCTCTGGTTCTTCAGACACAACTGAACTCCAGGTTGCTACACACAAGCATCTTCCCACTGAGTCTGTCCTTTTAAACATGAGGAGGGAGCTTGTTAAAGTGCTTCAGACGTTTGGTTTTAGAAGTCAAAACATGCCAACAATTAGAATTTGCTGCAGCATTAAACTCAGTAGTTTGTCAAAGGCGCTGCTCACTCTGTTCGTGGCCACTGAGCACTTGTATGGTGAACTGTATTGTACTTGGGGGACGGATCTCCAGTTAGGATTTCACCAAAGTGATCTTCCCATGCATTCCATCAGCTGCCATTATCCTTTTCCATCGTAAATTGCCATTGGTGGGCTGGAGCGATGGCTCATCCGCTAAAAGGCTAGGCTGACAACCAAAAATAGATTACCCTTGGTTTTGTTTCATTGGCAGTTTAGTTCAGCCTCTGTTCCATCCCCATGGTAGGCAGCAGTACATTTATTATAACGGTGTGCTGGGCTGTAATGTTTCCGGGAATTCTAAAATATTTTGTTTGGTTTTGCTTGTTTTCTCTAAGTGAAAGGACAGTAGGGAGGTCCCCAAATGCTTTGTTGGACCAAGTGAACACAGCCGATTTGGGAAGAGTAGTCCCCTGTTTTTGCTGACACACTTTAATATTCCATGTATACATAGGAGTAGGTTTTCCAAATCTTGCCCTACCAAAATGTTAGGAGATCAGGAGCTGGGGTTGTGGCTAGTTGGTAGAGTGCTTGCCTACAAGCATGCATGGGCTTTGGCTTTGATCCCTGGCACCACAGAAACTGGTCATGGTGGTGAATGTCAGTAATCCCAGCAAGTGCAAAGAGGAGGCAGAAGGATCAGGAAGTTCAAGGTCATTCTCTGTTGCATAGTGAATCTGATGCTGTCAGAAGGTGGGTGTGGCTCAACCATAGCTTGCCTAGCTTGCCGGGGTTTCACACCTAGCACAAAATAAATAAATCAGTTCAGTTCGAGATGGACTCTCCAGATTCTGCCACATCCATTAATGCTATCTGTGTGCTCTTGGCTGCTGCTCTAGACTGTTTGGGGCTTAACAGTCTTTAAAAATTATTTAACTTTATGCGCATTGGTATCAGATGGTGGAGGTATCAGATCTACTGGAACTGGAGTTACAGACAGTTGTGAGCTACCATGTGTGCTGGGAATTGAACCTGGGTCCTCTGGAAGAGCAGCCAGTGCTCTTAACCACTGAACCATCTCTCTCTAGCCCCAGGGCTTAACTTTTTCATCTGAAAATTAAAGGTGCTTCTGGCAGCTTCTACTGGCTCCATAACCCTGGTGTTTGTAGTAGAGTTCCTATGAGCGGATGGGTCCACTAGGCCAGGCCTCAAGGCAGAAGTGTGGGAAGGATGTGGTTGGTGAAAGCAGGCCTTAGGATCCTCAGGATTTGCCCGGGCCTTGTACCCTGTCCTTAGGTGCGCCAAGTTGCTGCTAGAGGCTGGAGCATCTGTGAACATGGCTTCACAGGAAAGCGAAGTCACACCCCTGCATGTGGCTGCAGCCCGTGGCCTGGAGCAACACGTGGCGCTCTACCTGGAGAATGGTGCAGATGTGGGCCTGCGCACCAGCCAGGGCGAGACTGCACTGAATGCCGCGTGCGCTGGAGCAGAGGGGCCAGGCAGCTGCCGACAACACGAGGCAGCAGCACGACAGCTCTTGAAAGCTGGGGCTGATCCCCGGGCTGCAGGTCGCAAGCGCCACACACCACTACACAACGCCTGTGCTAACGGCTGCGGAGGCCTGGCTGAGCTGCTGCTGTGCCACGGGGCCAGCGCTCGAGTCACCAATGGGGCAGGCCACACACCCATGGACTGCGCTTTGCAAGCGGTACAAGATGCCCCCGACTGGGAGCCCGAGGTCCTCTTTGCAGCCCTGCTGGACTACGGGGCCCAGCCTATTCACCCTGAGGTGCGCTGGGAGGGCCTGAGGAAAGGGTCTAAGAGATCAAAAGCCTTCCTCAGTGACTAGAGGTCCATCCCCATCTTGGCAGAGGGGATAGGGTGTCCAAAGAAAGATTAGAGTCAAGGAAACTGGGGCCAGGAGCTTGGGTTATGTGTGGATGGGGCAGGCTGAGGCAAGGAAAACATGAGGGTGTGTGTGTAGCAATTTATATTAGTCAGCCTTGGGCTTGCCTTAGTTGGGGCAGCATGGAACTCCTAGGCCCCCGTTTTGATTCCCAGATGCTGAAACACTGTGCCAACTTTCCTCGGGCCCTGGAAGTCCTGCTTAATGCCTACCCATGTGTTCCTGCCTGTGACACCTGGGTGGAGGCTGTGCTTCCAGAACTGTGGCAGGTATGTCCACTCCAAGGGCCAAGCTTTTTCCTAGTGGGCTAGAGAGGCCACTCCTTTCAAGCTTCAAAGAGGGAAGGCAGACCCTGGGCAGAAGAGGGTAGGCAGTGAAACCCCTGGTTTCCAGGCCTCTGCCTACAGCAGCGCAGGTGGATCTTCCATTTCCCATACTGGCCAGCCCCTTGCCGACAACCATCCATTTACCAGTCAGCTGACTTGGTGGGGATTCTACCAGCATGTCTGGGGTGGGAGTGGCCGCTGAAATCCAGTCCCCAATACACGGCACTGGGTTATCAAAATCGGGAGGGGGGGTATTGGGTCATCTAATCCTCCCTTCTTCTGGCCTAGGAACATGAAGCCTTCTACAGCTCAGCCCTAAGCATGGAAAACCAGCCAAGACGGCTGCAGCACCTGGCCCGCCTGGCTGTTCGTGCTCAGTTGGGTAGCAACTGTCGGCAGGCTGCCGCCCAACTCCCACTGCCCCCGCTGCTCAGAGACTACTTGCTGCTGCGTGTGGAGGGACAAATCCAGTGAGCTCTGGGCAGGTCACTTCTACTTCCATCTGCTCCTCCACCCAGCTCTGGAAAACCAACCACTGCCCCTTTCCTTTGCACTTTGCATGGCCTCCAGGATCAGCTTGTCCCTCCACTGACATCTTAAGCCGCCTGCTGATCTTCAGGCCTTCTTAGCCTGTCCCCAAAGAAACCTTTCACCCACTCACCACTCCCATGTTTAAGTAGATAGATGGCCTCTTTATCTACCCAAGCTACAAGCAAATGATCCCAGGCATGGGTCTTCCCTTGCCACCCATATGCCTACCCAGCCCCCCCCTCCCCCCAGTGACAGGCCCTTAGTTGGATTTGATAGCATACACCTCTAACTCCAGTACTCAGGAAGCTGAGGCAGTAGAATTGTGAATTCAAAGCTAGCAAGGTCTTGGGGGGCATGGGGGGGGTACCCTGCTTCTTTGCCTTCTACCCAGCCCAACTCTGGATAGAACTAAAAGGAAGGTCTGCTATGATTGTTTTTCTCCCAGCACTAGGCATGGAACCTAGGGCTTGGTACACGCCAAGCAAGTATCCCACCCCACAGTCACACCTCTATCTTAATGAGATCCATGTCTTGAATGGATGCTAGAACAGCCTTTTTTTTTTTTTTTTTTTTTTTTTTTTTCAAGACAGAGTTTCTCTGTATAACAGCCCTAGCTATCCTGGAACCTACTCTGTAGACCAAGCTGGTCTCAAACTCACAGAGATCGCCTGCCTCTGTCTCCTGAGTGCTGGGATTAAAGGTATACCACCAACGCCCGAGACATTTATGATGTATTGTCCCTTACTCCCAAGTGTAACATGGTATCTTAACTGGCTAGTCTAGAATGGCTTCTGGGGCCCAGAAAGCTAGAAGGCTATCATCTCTTACTTATTCTGGTCTTAGAGACAAGAAGGCATGACCACTCACCTGTAGGAGGAGGCTTTTCAAGGCAGATCAGTTTTATGAATGCCAATAAATAACTTGTGCACAGAACAAATGTACAGGTGGTGTTAGGTTTGAGTGTGACAGTAGTTGCTATCACTCCACATTTATTCTCTCCTTTGTGTTCTTCTGGGGCCTCCATGTTTTCTGCCTTGAACGAGTGTTTCTGGTGACATGAAAAAGGTTATAGATACCGCCCCCCCCTTGACCCTCCATGGGAGCCTTGTGGTAGGTATAACTCCCCCCATGGGAGCCTTGTGGTAGCTATAGATCCCCCCCCATGGGATAGTAGGTATGGACGCCCCTACCACAGGAACCTTGTGGTAGGCATCTCAAGAAAGAATAGAAGGGCTTATCTGACCTTTTTGCTGGGGATCAGGGTTCTCAGTCACCAACTGGTATCACCCAGCAGAGCCAGGTCAGGAGTCCTGGGCCTGCTTCCTGGGGCCTCTGGCCAGTTCCCGCCTCCAGGGAGTTGTCTGCTCAGATTTCCTTTCATTGGCACAAGACAGCCTCTGCCCTGGTTCAGGAGAGTAGGAACCACCTGTCTCTCCATAGAGGTTTTGCTTTAGTTCCACAGAGCCAAAGGTCTAAGACAGTTCTCAACCTCTGAGTTGAGACTCCTTTAAGACCCTTTCAAGATCCTTTCACAGGGGTCACCTAAGACCATGGAAAAAACACAGATATCTGCATTATGATTCATAACAGTATCAATATTACAGTTATAAAGTATCAAAAAATAATTTGGGAGGGGGGTTGAGACAGGGTCTTTCTACATAGCTCTGGCTGTCCTAGAACTCTATTTGTAGACAGGTTGGCCTTGAACTCACAGAGATCCACCTGCCTCTGCCTCCCTAGTTCTGCTGGAATCAAAGGAGTGTACCACCAAACCAACTTCAACAAAAACAATCGTATGGTTGGGGTCACCACAACATGAGAAACTGTATTAAAGGATCACAGCATTCGGAGGGTGAGAAGCACTGGTTCTAAAAGAAGACAAGGCTTCCCCAGGCCTTGGTCTGAGTTGGGAACCTTGCTCCAGGGAATAATGCTGAAGTTTCTGCCCCATTACAGAAGGCAGGCCCCCGCCAGTGCAGTCCAGTCTCTTCTATTATGTCTTAAAACCACAAAATACCTAATTGTTGCTTTTATTTTTTAAAGAAAAGATATATTGGACTATGTGTATTGATTTTGTGATAGGCAAAGATTTTTCAGTTACAAAGAGCATGAAATATTAAAAGAACAGAATTTAGGGGTGTTTTTACTTTACAATTTAGTTACGTGTGTGTGCGCGTAAGGTGGGGGAGACCTACAGAGACCAGAAGACAGCATAGAATACCCTGGAGCCAGTTAAGGTGGTTTTCAGAATCAAACTCAGATCCTTTGGAAGAGCAGCAATCACTGAACCATCCTCCCAAATCCTAGGTTTGTGTTATAAAGACTATACAATAAACAGGTAAAAGAAAAATACTAGCGTGGTGGTGCATGCCTTTAGTCCCAGCACTCGGGAGGCAGAGGCAGGCGGATCTCTGTGAGTTCGAGACCAGCCTTGTCTATAAGAGCTAGTTCCAGGACAGCGTCCAAAGCCACAGAGAAACCCTGTCTTGAAAAAAACAAAACAAAACAAAAAAAAAGAAAAGAAAGTTATTTGCAGTCATCCTAAGGGCTGGGAAGATGGTTCATTTGGTAAGTGGAAGTATGAGGCCTTAATTTGATCCTTAGCACCCAGATGAAATAAAATAATAATAATAATAATAATAGACCAGCAGGGCATGATGGTGCACACCTTTGATTCCAGCACTTGGGAGGCAGAGGCAGACAGATCTCTGTGAGTTCAAGTCCAGCCTGGCCTACAGAGTGAGTTCCAGGACAAGCAGGGCTACAAAAGAAACCCTGTCTTGAAAACCCCTCCAAATTTTTTTTTTCATTTAAAAAATGGCCAACAAGTTAAGATCCATGTAAACACTGAGTTAAATTCACAGTGGTGCCTGCCTGTAATCCCAGCACTTAGGAGGCAGAGACAGGAAGATCAGAAGTTCACGGTCTTCCTCTGCTACAATGGTTCTAAAGTGACCTAATGCTTCGACCCTTTAATACAGTTCCTCATGTTGGGATGACCTCCAACCATAACATTATTTTCGCTGTTACTTCATAGCTATAATTTTCTACTTTTTGGAATAGCAATATAAAGATCTGATATGCAGGATACCTGATATCCAACCCCTGTGAAAAGGTCGTTGGAACCCCAAGGGGTCGCGACCCAGAGTTTGAGAACCACTGTTCTACTGAGTAGTTAACAGAAAAAAGGGAAAAGTTAATCCAGGGTGATAGACTTGGAGAGAGGGTTCAAAGGCTAAGAGCACTTGCTGTTCTTTTCTGATCTGAGCTCTCTTCCCAGTTCTAGCTCCAGGGAATCCAGTGCCCTCTTGTGGCCTCTGCAAGCAACCACACACACGTGGCATACACTTTCAGACACAGAAATCAAAGCAAATCACTTTTTAAGAGAGCACTATATCTATGTCTCTCTGACATGCCTTCCCGCTTTATTTATCAAAGCTCCACACTATATAGTATTTAAGACTATAATTGTCTTCTTGCCTGTCTTCTCCAGTAACAACTTTCTTAAAAATCCGAAATACTAGACCTTCCGGATCCCTACATTGGCGTCCAGTGCGCATTAGGGGAGCAGTAACGACTCCCTTTAGTTACGGAGCTCGAGAAGCCGGAAGGAGGGAAAGAGGGAAAGCTGGAGGTGGGTGGACCAGCAGAGCCGGGCAGGACAATCGTCCAGGCACGAAACCACGCCCCTCCCGCAAGCACCGCCCCGCGCCGCTCCTCCTCTCCTGTCCCCGCCTCTGACCTCTGAACGGCCCGGGCACACGCCCACGAGGCGTGGCCTTACTGCCCGAGGTCCGCAATCCCGCCAACAATGACTCCGCCCCTCCTGCCGCTGTGCAACCTGGCCCTTTTAGTCAAAGTTACGTTTGCGTCAGTCCGCCTTACGTAGCCTTGCGTCATCAGTACAAGGCGGGGAGGCGGGACTTCCGGTCCCCATGTTAACAGCTTCCGAGGAAAGCCGGAAGAGATAGGACCCTGGACAGAATCCCGGGTTGCCAGCCCCTCCCCCGGCCCCTACGGAAAGACGAGTGCAGAGACTGTCCTGGCGAAGTCAAAACATTTATCCTGGCTTTGTCAGGTGAGGCTCTCCTTCCCCACCCAGGAATAGTACCAGTCCAACCCCCTCACCCTCCAATTTCCCATGACTCTCCGCGCCCTCAGGCCCCGCCCCCGGTCCCTCTGTCCCGCCCCGAAGTTTGAGGGGTGTGGATGGTTTGTGGCCCCCTCGCCTGACCCTAACCTTCCCCGGGCAGGAGAGCTGGGCCTGGGCACCGCCACCGTGACCCGGAAGCCCTTCGGCCGGGGGTGGGGGCTCATGGGCTCTGCTGCCACAGGGAAGGACCTCCCGGGCGCAGAGCCTTCGCCTCGGGAACAGCCAGCAGGGTCGCCCACAGGCTGAGGAGAAAGCTGAGGCCTGGGAGCAGGCAGACGCCCCCCGCGGCCCCCTGCGGCCCCCTGCGTCCTCGGCTTCCGGCTGTCTGTGCCACAGTTGCCTCCTGTGTAAATCACGATTCCTGACATTAACCTTGCCATCAGGGGTTGGTTGTGGGAGTGAGACATAATTGCTATCATTTGTTTATCGAACAGTCTTAAATTATTTTGCTTCGATGATTTCACGTCATCTTCAAAACAACCTTATGAGGTAGGTACCATTTTAAACCCCGCTTTACTGATGACAGTGCTGAGGCTTGAGAAAGTTGTTGGAAGTTACGTAGCTAGAAGAGGGACTAGACCGCGATCTTTGTTTCCCTGACTCCAGGGCGAATCTGTTAAATAAGGCCGTGGGAAAAAAATCTTCGAATGTCGGTATGTCCACAGATATTGAGGAGCTTCTGTAGCATTGCTCTGAGAGCTTCTTACAAAGAGAACTGCGCTTGATTCTTCCACAAGTCAATGAAGAGATGGACAGTTTATAAGTAATGACGCTTTATGGGTGCTGTGAGAATAGTCTGGTAACGATAATCACCAGTTGGATTTGCTCAGGGACAGCTGTGAAAGTAGGTTCTCCAGGGAAAAGAGAAGATACTCCAAGGAATATGCGGAGATCCTCCATGCTTTTCTAAGAAACTGCAGAGAGAGAACCTTCACAGCACAAGACAGAATGAAATAAGAATTGTGGGAGCTCGTTGGGAAACCTTTCCAAATAATTTCTACTTGGGCAATGGCTGTTTTTTCTTCTTCTTCTTTTTAAGCTGCTTCATGCAGTCTAGGGCTGAATTTGCAATGTGATGGAGACTTGTCTTGAACCCTTCCTCCTGCCTTCATCTCCCAAGTTCTGGATAACTGGAGTGTATGCTGGGGCAGTGGTTTTACAGTTGTGAGCCAAGCCCATGGTGACCCAAGAGGGCAGGGTTTCTGGTGTCTGTCCCATGTGGCTCCCCAGAATTTGCCAGAACACTTTCGTAGCAGACGTGTGTCTGCTGATAGTCCCAGTACATTTGTCCACTTGAAGTGATCTGATTCTGTCCTTGATATATCACAAGGTATTTATTTTGGCTTTGACAGCTGTGCATGCATGGGTCTCTGGCCATGTATGAGATGTAATCAAATGAAAGTCTGGTAGGGATGGCTGCACAATGCCTGTAAAGGAATCTTTTCATTCTTTGAAACTACAGTTGAGGCTACTTAAAGGGCATATGTGCTTTAGTCCCATGTTAGAAATCTTAGAGAAACTCCAGGCTTACAGAGACATACGTAGGCAGGTATGGTGGTGCACGCCTTTGATCCCAGCACTCAGGAGACAGGGACATGTGGATCTCTTGAGTTTGAAGTTAGTTTGGTCTACTAACTGCTATGTAAGTAGAGAGACAGGCTAGGACCAAGGCTAGAGTCAGGATAGTCAGGGTTACACAGAGATACCTTTTCTTGAAAAGAAGGGAAGAAGCAAATGTTCTTTCTCCATGTATCAAAAAAATAAAAATTGAAAGTTAAAAAAAAAAGCAACTAGCAGCTGGTGACAAGCTTATGAGGCTTTTCTGGTGACCTGTGCTCTTTATGGGAGCAGAATCTGAAAGCTAGATTTTCATAATAGAGGCCAAGGGTAAGTCCTTAGCTTGAGATTGAGGGTCTAGTACAGTTAGGGAGGTTGACTGCCTCTCCTAAAAAACACCACAAACTCCCCTCCCCCCCTTTTCCTCTCCCGCATGATTCAGAACCTAAACAAACCAGAAACCTGATTATAAGCCCTCAGGCCCTGCTGATGCTATCCCCCTTTGTTCCTACAGCGTGGACCCGGTCAGCAGCCAAACCATGGAACTCTCTGATGTCACCCTCATCGAGGGTGTGGGTAATGAGGTGATGGTGGTGGCAGGTGTGTTAGTGCTGACTCTAGCCTTGGTCCTAGCCTGGCTCTCTACTTACGTAGCAGACAGCAGTAACAACCAACTGCTGGGCACCATTGTGTCAGCAGGCGACCCATCTGTTCTCCACCTGGGGCATGTGGACCAGCTGGTAAGCCAAGGCGCTCCAGAACCGACTGAACTCCCCCATCCATCGGAGGGGACTGATGAGAAGGCTGAAGAGACCAGTGACACTGGAGGAGACTCCACTGGGGAACCTGGAGCTAGGGGAGATACGGAGCCCAGCCTTGAGCATCTCCTGGATATTCAAGGCCTCCCTAAAAGACAAGCAGGCCTGGAGAGCCCTCCAGAAGCTCCACTGGGATTAGATGATAGCACCTGCCTCTCTCCCAGCCCCAGCCTCATCAATGTTCGGCTCAAGTTCCTCAATGACACCGAGGAGCTGGCTGTGGCCAGGCCAGAGGACACTGTGGGTACCCTAAAGAGGTGAGTAGGCTGGAAAGAGAGCAGTAACTCATGATTTGTGCCTCACTCATTGGTTTCCCCAAAAAAAGTTGGTGCAGATTTGAGAGCACTAGAGGAATTTTAGTGGCTGGTCTCTGCCAGAGACTTCATAGTCAGCCCATCAGTTTCTTCCATGCCCTGCTTTGTTGGTCCAGACCTTTATATCCTCATTCCTTATCCAGTCTTTCCTTTCATCCTTATAGCAAATACTTCCCTGGACAAGAGAGCCAGATGAAGCTGATCTACCAGGGTCGGCTGCTGCAGGACCCAGCACGCACACTGAGTTCCCTGAACATTACCAACAACTGTGTGATTCACTGCCACCGCTCACCCCCAGGGGCAGCTGTTTCTGGCTCCTCAGGCTCCTTGACCCCCTCAGCCACTGAGCCATCCAGCCTTGGTGTCAATGTGGGCAGCCTCATGGTGCCTGTGTTTGTGGTGCTCTTGGGTGTGGTCTGGTACTTCCGTATCAATTACCGTCAGTTCTTCACAGCACCTGCCACTGTCTCCTTGGTAGGAGTCACGGTCTTCTTCAGCTTCCTAGTGTTTGGGATGTATGGACGATAAGGACATCCAGGAGACAATGAAAGGCATGGTCTTCCTCTTTCATGGCCTCCCCCCCTTTCCTGGCCAGAGCTGGGCCCAAGGACCTGGGAGGGAGGGATGGGAAGGATATGGTGGGTACCCTGTCCATGGGACCCAGGAAGGAGGTGTGTGGCCTCCCTTGGTGTCCACAGGGTACAGATATCTCTGCAAGCACAACTCAGGTAGAAACAAGGATATCATTTTCCCGATTTTGGAATCCCAAAGTTCAAATGCCAAGCTCAGTGAGAAGCTTGGGCTCTGGGTTTTCTCTCTTGGCCATGGCCTTAGCCCTTTTCCAGTTTCTTGCATGTCTGCCCCCAATCCCCCAGGGCTGCTGCCTGGCAGCTCAGCATGGCCTTAGCCTTCCTCTGAAGGGAGCTTGAGTACAACTTCCTCGCCTCAGATGAGTGTGGATCTTCTGAAACTAAATTCACGGGCACCCAGCTGCCACCACCTCCTCCCTGTGCCCTTATAGCAGCGATGGGATATTTTTTCCTTCTCTCAAAGCACTTTGCTTGCCCCCCCCCCTTTTTTTTTTCCCTAAATCCACATAGAGCTCAGTTAGGAAGGGGATTGGGGCAGAAGGCCAAGCCCTCAGCATTGAGGGACCAGGCCACAGCTGCTGCTAGCCTAGACCTAAGGCTGTAAGAGAACACTGGACTGAATCCAGTGTCCTGCCCAGCTCCAAGGACGAGCTCTGGGTTATAGCTTGCCCTGCCCTAGGCCCTTAGATGGTAGGTCAGTATGAGCGAATAAAATTGTTTTGTGGCTGAGAAGCCTGTTTTGTGACTGCTCTACCCTCAGTAACATGGTAATGAGGGTGGGTAGGCCAGGCTACCAACGGGAGATGCAGTTTATTTACACCAGCAGCCATGGGGGCAGAGGGAATACACAGCGTTTACAAAGTTAGCTACCTGTACAGGATGGATTACATATGCAAAAATAAAAATCTCAAGACCACAGGACAGCGTGAGCCCCACCCCCCTCCCCCAATGACCCCAGCATGCGGTAATGCCAGGCGGGTGGCCCCTGGGCATGCGGGGGGGAGTGATGCATGGAAGGAAAAGCCACCGGCCATGGAAATTAGTACAGAACCCCCCCACACACACACTCAGACACATGATAGGATACAGGGTGGACGACACCTAGCCAGGGTGGGGAGGATGGGAATTGAAACCCACACAGCCTGCTGTTAGAGGGAGGAAGGGGGGAGTTCCTAGCCCCTGTTCAACTACACGGTAGAGGGGGCATAACTCCCCAGAAGGAAGGGTTTGTTCCCTCAGGGTCCCTGCTGGACCAAGCCCATCTCTTACCCAGCCTGGGCAGGGGGCTCTGCCCTGAGGGTGAGCCAAGGAACAATAGGGAAGTTTTTGTGGATAAACCAGTTCCCAAACTACTCCCTCTAACCAGAGGAGAAAGGGAGAGGTGGGAGAGCAGAATGAGTTGGCCTGAGCTGCAGCTACTTCTCTGAAGGGATAGCAGCCTGGGCCGGCTTCCCCTGACCTTCAGCAGGCTCCCAAGCCAGCGCTTGGAAGCTGCTGAGAACCTTCTCTCCCCCTCTAGTTTCCCCCTCAAGGGAGAAGGCTGTAGAGGGTCAAGGACAGAGGAGCCCAGGCTCCAGGATTTATTCTAACTCCTGCCAAAATTGGTTTGACTTTTTAAAAAATAATCACAATGCTTGGGTTAAAAACCAATTTGTAACCAGGCATCAGCCACAATCAGAACAACCCCAGGGGGAAGACTGGGGTTCCAGACAGGGTTCTACAACCCTAGCTCTGTTGTTCCCTTAACCCTCTAGGGTCCCTAACCCAAATAAGTCCAACCAGTCCTGGGTACTAGCTACCCAATGTGGGAGTGGCTCCTCCTGGGAAGAGAGGGGACATGTATAGCAAGTGCCAGAAAACATGGCTCAGGGTCAACCCCATCCCTGTCAGTCAGCTGTACTCCAGCCCATACCCAGGTCCTCCAGCTTAGTTCCAAGGCATGATACCACCTACTTGCGAGGTGTGACAGTACATCTCTTGAGGATGTAGGCCAAGTAGGTGGGTGCCCTGGCATGACAGTCCCACAGAGGGTCAGCAGCACCCATCCAACCTCCGCTGACAACCCAGGGCAGAGACTACCTTCTCATCCCACCCTACTCCTAGCAAAGGGAGAGAGGCACAAGGTTAGGGTTTTTCCTCAGAGCCCCAAACCACGAGTACAGAATAAATAACTTAAAAGCGGCAAGGGAGGGGAACAGGGCACGCTTTAGAGGCGGGAGCACTGAGAGGAACCAAAGCTGGTCAAGGTGAAGGGTGGCAAGCAGCAGCTGGGAACTCAGGCTGCCCCAGCAGGGCAGGGCAGGGCAGGGCGGGGTGGGGATGGGGCAGGGTGGGAGGGTGACCACAGGGCCCCCCCAGGAGGGTGAGGCTGGGCCCCTTCCTGGGGCAGGGAATGAGGTAAGAAACATTTCAAATAAAGCAGCACCGTCCCTCTCACCTGGGCTGTCCTCACAGCCCTGGGGCAGGGAGGGCAGGGGGCCACTCTGATACAGGCTCCCTCTTCCTACCCTCCCCTTCCCATTCCTTGAAGCTGTAGAGGCTGGAGGCCCTTTCCTGGCACCCAACAACAAAAGGACAGCTCCTGCTGCCAAGGAGGCCCATGGGGACTGAGGGGAAAGGGCTGCCCCTGTGAGGCAGTTCTGGACGCCCACCTCAGCAGACAGCACTCTGCCTGCTGACCCCGGGGACTGGGAACATCTGATAGGACTCTGCACACAGACAGGACACACCAGCCCTGCCCCTCAGCTCCAAGCACCGGACCCATTCACATTGCTGAGGGCAGCCAGGAGAGGCCTCCTCTGGGCTCAGCTTCCAAACCAAAGCCGCCTGGGTAGCCACAATGCCCCTCGGCAGGGCTTAGTCCAGTTCCTGGGGTGGGGAGCAGGCAGTGCCCTGGCACAGTGCCCAGGTCAGGCCCCCAGCCTAGCTGGACATCCAGTAACTCACAGAATAAATAGGAAAACCACCTCCCCACCAAACTTATGTCCAAGGCATAATATGTCCAGGTCTGAGTCCTGCACGCCGAGGGGTCATGCTTCCTTGCAGAGGACCCTGACACCCCCCAGGGGCACATAACTGGATCCTCTGCCTGCCTGGGCCACCAAGCTTCCCAAGCCCAAACCCCCAGCAGCTGTCCATATGCCAGGCTATGCTGCCTGGGTGGGGGTCGGGAGAGAGGGCTCTCTCAGCCAAAGGCTATCCTTTGCACCCAAGTCAGTTGATGTCATCATAGATGCTGGGCGTTGGGGGAGCCGGTGGCTTTGGCTTTTTCTTCTTGTTGGAGCCCAGGCCGGAGGCAGTCCCTACCAAGCTCAGATGCGATTTCTTTTTCTTGGTTTTCCGTGATTCAGAGGTGTTGGTACCTGCAGAGAAGGAGGCACAAGGGTGAGAGTGGAGCTGTGATGGGAGAGGTGGTACCCAGTGTCCAAAGCCCCTGAGATCAATTGGTACTGTATACCTAGACCCCATCCTTGATTTTCACTCGTCTTGGAGGAGCCTGAATCGGAAGGTGAGAGATCAGAAGAGCCGTCCCACTGAAGCCTGCTGATGAGGGCCTGGCTGTCAGTCATGTCAAAGCTGTCATTATCCAAGGAACTCTCGACCTCTGGGAGGACACTGGAAAGAAGAATCAAAGAAACATGTTAGGGAAAGAGACCACCAACCTGACCCACCACCCTTCTGGAAAGATCACTTACGCTGAAGGCCCAAGGAAATAAATCCGTACGGTTCGCCTCTGTTCATCTGTGTGCTGGGGGCAGCGTAGTGACCTGGTGGGGACAGAATGATCAGACCCTGACAAGGCAGGGAAGGACTTCAGGAACTCAGGTGGAGCAGAAGCTGGAGGGACAGGGAAAGAGTCAGTGGTGAATCCCCAGATGGTGGCCTAATAAGTAAGGCCTAATAGACGAAGGGAGGGTTAAGAATGAGGACCCAGGGGCTGGAGAGATGGCTCAGAGGTTAAAAGCACTGGCTGCTCTTCCAGAGGTCATGAGTTCAATTCCCAGCAACCACATGGTGGCTCACAACCATCTGTAATGAAATCTGGTGCCCTCTTCCCTCTTCTGAGATGCAGGCAAATGTGCAAGTAGAACATTGTATACATAATAAATAAAATCTTAAAAAAAAAAAAAAAAAGAATGAGGACCCACTGCTCAAATCTGGGGGGACACCCGACCCACGCCCAGGATCAACCCCCTTTTTAGTTTCTGTGCTCACCTTGTGCACATCTTCTTGGTATGTTCAGAAATCACTCCACATTGCTGGAAGAGGAACATAAGCTGAAAGCAGGGGTAGGGGACCTACTCCAACACTAGATGCTCCTTCTGCACCAATGCTAGACTGCCGGCCCAAGCAGAAACCAGCCCCAGAGCACGTAGAACAGGAAGCCTACTTTCAGAGAAAACTATGGCTCCTGCTGCTATGTCACCTGTCTCCTTCAGAGTCCTGATTTTTACCCATTGTCCAGCCCAAGCAAATCCTCCCCCATCCAATTACACACCGTGGTGAGCAGGCTCCGAAGCTCTTCTGGCCCCAGGGTCTCATAGCTGATCCCAGTTGAATTGCTATACTGTGAGAGAACCAGACGTACACGTCAAAGAAGCAAAAGAAAAGAGCAGACAGGAAAGTGGTGGGAATGGAGCCTCCCTCGGACCCTCTCACCCCTGCCTCCGTGCTGTTTTCTAAGAGTCTTTCCAACCTACCTGCATATGGACAAGGAGATGGGACCCACAAAGAATGAGGAACACCCAAGACTCAAATAGCCCTACAACCACTTCAAGTTGTCAGCATCCCGACCTCAGTTGTCCAAATCCCAGCCACCTCACAAGGGGACTGAGAAGAGGCATAAAAAGGAGCTTCTACTCACCTTAAAAGGGTCGGAGTTGCTAAGTTCCCCTGAAGAAGAAAAAAGAAGGGGAAGGGTGTTTGATGCAGAGGTACAGACAGAGAACCCTGAAAATAACCAGAGAGGAAGTGGGGGTGACAGAAGGCTCACAGGCCCTCCCTCGCACTCCTGCCCCTTTGCCTCCCTTCCACCCCCACTACAAGTCCTGTGATTATACAGCTAGCAGTGCCCCTGTTGGTCTAGCCCCACTTACCATTTTTGTGTTTTAAAGACTTGGATCTTCGAGGGGAATTAGGGTTCTGGAATGGGAGATACCATAGCTTTGGGGAAAGGGCAACGATAAGGGGGAGCCGAGAACCCAGGGAAGGAAAAAAGATTTGACAAAGAAACAAGCTCAAACTCATACTATTCCTCCCCGGTAAGGTCTGTCTGTCTGCCTATTATTTCCTCCCTCCCTCCCACCAGAGGGAGCTCCCCTGCCCACCAGACACCCTTATTCCCAAACCCAGAGAGCCCCCCCCCCCAGTGACATCACACTTGAGTCAAAAGACCTGAGCACTCCCTGCCCAAAAGGGAGGGTTATCTGTCCTTCACCCAAACTTCCCCCATGCTCGCCCCGGCTCTCACCTTGTCTGATTTTCTCTTCTTGGCTGGGGGACAACAGAACAAAGAACACAGTTACTTTTAAATTCTCAGTCTCAGCACTTACATGTTTTTAAAAACTACATTCTTCCCCCATCATCAAGACCGTTTATGGCAAATGTATGCTCTAACCCTGCTTTCCCACTTCACCCCAGGCTGCCCCAGTTCCCCAAACACCTTTCTTCTCTGAGCCATAGGACCAGTCATTGTCATTGATGTCATCGTTGTCTTCTTGGTCACTTTC